GGAGCTCGCAACAGCGTGACCAGAAAAGCTTGTCCAGGCCTCCATGAAGGCTTTGGTGCCAGACTTGGCCTCGATACTGACTGGGGAAGAAGCAGTAGGGCTACTACCGCTTCGAAGCATCCAGCTCTGCAACAAACAAGCCTCAGCCTGAAAACAGCGAACATCATCATATGAGTCGATCGAGCCACAATCGTGCCGAGGTTGTTGATCAACTCCTTAGGATTCGCTTGCATTCACCCTGCTTCTGAAGTCTGAGAGGTGGCGATGAGGATACAGACTTACCAACGACCTGCAGCCCGCGTTTTCCAAAAGGGCTGGGCATTCCTCTTGCAGAACAGGCTTCTACAGCCTCTTCTGCTGTTTCGTGCCAGCTTGTGGTGTCCACAGGCTGAAGCAGCGAGCACAGGACACTTGACAACGAGCCCCTCCCGAGAATCTTGCCATAACCGATTCCATCCCGTCTTGAAGTCTGCAGCAACCTCCGATTCGCTGACGGCCGAGGGTCGTTCTTGGTCATGCCAATGCCGGAGTCTTCGATGGTCAAGGTCGAATTGGTCTTGTCCGGGATGATCTCAGGTGCACGAGACGAGCAAGATCGAACAGCCGCTTGCATTGACCCTAAACCCTAATGCCCACGCCCCTAACCCCTCAACCCCTCAATGCCCGAACTCCTAAGCCTCTAAACTCCCAGACACCTGAACCCCTGAACTCCCGAATCCCATTTTATCCCTACAAAAGCACGAGAAGTCCGACCACAGGGTTCCCAAACATGCCCAGGAGCTTTGATGAAGAAGTTGGGCTGCGCCTGCGGTGGCGGAGCTTCTCGATGCGTTGGTTTCAGGACAACTGCGGCTTGCCTGTGATGCCAACCCTGTATTTCACATTATGTACTAATACTTACATTTGACATAACATCTGTACATTAGCTCAAAACCTTCCTCTCACGATTGCTCCTCCGTGCGAGAAACCACGCACCGGAGACAAGGTTTAGCTCCCACACTCCCTGCCTCGATCTTGTCTGGATCGGTGATCGATTCGTAGCGAATCTTGTCCAGAGCCTCTGTTCAGCTTTTTTGACATGCCATCGTGTGCACTTCATGTGAAGAAAACGACGAGAAGTCAGCCCAATGAATTCTGAAACGTTGGACTTACTGCTGCGAGCTGCATCCGAGGCGTTGGAGATGAGCTCTCGCAGGAAGATCTCCTTGTTGGAGTAGAAGGTGTTGATGATCAAGCCTCGGCAACCGATGGAACATTACAAACCCAGGGCCTACAATTCGCGCCTTGTTGCATACATGTGTTCGTCTCGAACTCAGCATTTGCGCAGCACGTGTGCAGAAAATCTCAGGATCCGCTCGTTTCGGGCATCTGCTTATGAACTGGAAAATTGCAGACCAACTACAGAACATCTGTTGGCATCAGCCTATGATGAAATGCGCTCAGAAACTCATCAGCTGCTGGATGTCCGCGTTAAATGCGAAAGTCTCCGCCATGATTGTCCTTGCTTCGGATCTACTTCCACCCCCACCATACAACGCTTCGTTGAACAGTTTACTTCCATCGGGTTGTGGAGGTGGCGCGAGGGCTGCTGGAAAGGGATTGGGAAACGGAACAAAAACAACGCTCGCCCCACGTCCCACAAAAGCCAAGTCTTGAAAGCAAGGACGTGACAACTCAAAACAAAAACCTCCCGCGAGACCCAATTGAAAGCCAGCAGTCGTCGGAGCTTTTCGAGCTTTTCAGGCGTTCGTGAAAGACAAAACTTGAGCCGATGGTGCTGCGAAGCCCTACCTCAGTCTACGAGCTCGATGGACACAGCGACACGCAGACCTCGCATTGACGGATCAGTGCTGTTTGATGGCAATCTGCCGCGTGACCCTATGCAGCATCATCGCACTTTCCCTTCGCGGTCGATCCTCTGAAACAGGTTTCTCGCCAGACTCTGCCTGCTGCACAGGCGGCCGAATCTGGAGACTGTGTTGGGGGGATCATGCACAAGTGCGCACCGACGG